CAGATTTACTGAGGTTCAGCATGAAATTCGAGAGCCGTCCGTATGTCTCTAATGCTTGCAAAATATTGGGAAGTGACGTTTCTGGGCTCGACACATAAAGTAGAAGATCATCTGCATATGCAGCAACTTTATGGTGTCTGTCTCTGGTCTCAAGGCCTCTGATATCCGTCGATCCCTGAATCGTTCGGAGGAGTGGCTTCAAGGTAAGAAGGAATATAAGGGGCGACAGCGGGCAACCCTGGCGAGTGCCATTCGAAATGTCAAATGGCTCCGACAGGACCCCATTCACTCTAACCACTGCTGTAGGATTCGAATATAACGAACCTATCCATTGCCTCGTGTTTTTCCCCAAGCCTACATACCTTAGCGTCTCCCGCAAGAACGCCCAGTATACCCTGTCAAACGCCTTCTCCGCGTCCAATGACAGCAGGAGAAGAGGTTTAGATATGGACCATACTAGGTGGATCGCCGTCAGGGTCCTGATGGTGTTGTCTCTGGCCTCTCGGCCCGGGACAAACCCAACTTTGTTGCGGTCCACGAGCTCACCCAGAAAGAGACAAGAGGCAGAGCTGCGTGTTGTAGGAGGAAAAAGTCTATCCTCGAGTAAGACTGATGTGGGGCCGAGTAATGAGCGTAATCTCTGCCCGTAGGGTCACTAATGCGCCACGGGTCAATCAACTGAAGGTCGAACATAGACCGGTTGACCCGTCGTCGTTGTGCATATGTAATACGGGACAGTCCCCTGGAAGAGTCCATGGATGGATCCAGCACCATATTAAAGTCACCACCTATAACCCATAAGCCTTCTGCAAATGTCAGGAGTTGTAGCCAGACAGAGTTTAAAAAGGTCACCTGTCCGGAATTTGGGGCATAAACCGCTACCAGAGTCACCCTATGACCATGGAGGTCACCTTTAAGGAGCAACAAACGTCCCTCCAGGTCCGCATAGTGGTCAACGTAAGTCCAGGGGGCCGAGTTCGTCAGAAGTATGCTAACCCCTTTAGATTTGGAGTCCGGGGACGGGGCGTGGTATGCCGTGGGGTATCGATTATTACCCAGTCTGGGAATGTGGTCTTTCTTAAAGTTGGGTCTCTTGTATAAACGCTACATGGGTGCGTGAGCGCCACAGTTCGTTCAACAGGCATGATCTCTTTTCTGGAACATTAAGGCCCCGCACGTTGAACGAAGTGATTCTAAGTTCAGGCATTTAGGAATGTAAAGTGCAGCCAGACTAATAGGCAAGTGATCTAGTACTACACCTCGTATCCCCTGTCCGCTAGTCGTAGCCCGAAGGATCCAAGGATGGACCGCAGACCCGGCCGACGATACACCAGGAATACATGCAGACCGACACCTGGAAGAGAGATTGGGGGAGAGACAAACAAGGAGTACAAGCACACAGAGCTGAGACTGTGTCTGACCACCGTGTGGGAAAAATTCACAAACACAAAACAAGAGTGTTCCTACGGAATATCTCCGGTAAGGAGATGTTCCTACGGAATATCTCCGGTAAGGAGAGGATACACTCACAGCGGGGGAGTAGTTTGGACACAGCGACGGGGAGAGATGCAGTCCAGGGTGGGTATGGCTTGACAGCATACGCTCAGCCCCCCGCTATGTGCAAATAGTGGTCTGCCCCATCAAGAAGTCCACCCGATCCACATCATGACTAAGTTCCGGGAGTTTGGAAGGGGGGATGAGATTAAACTAAAAAACATTCGAGGCTTATAAACATTAAACCTTCTTTAAAAGCCCTCTAACAATTAAACACGATGAGGTGTAGAATACCAGCATAAAAAAAACAATATTGTATAGGTTAACAGAGATATCATTACTACCAGGTAAGTGCTGATCCGGCAGTCCTGGTGCCGATCACGGCCACCCAGCCAAACCCCTTGGCACCACCAACCCGCCATTTGGCGCAACCCTTTCCGCCAAAACCTTGGCAAGCAATAATATGCTTCAACGGAAGCAAGTGGGTAACTGTGGGTACTTGCCCAAAGTGCCATGTTGAGGAGGTTCCTCTGTAGGGAAGGCACACATGGTTGCAGCATTAAGGCATGTACCTCGGGCATCAACAGTAAGATCCTCCCAATGAGGTCGCAGGAGAGGGGTATGGTCAAATCAGGGTGACATCAAGAAGACGGCCATATCGGAGGATTGGCCGGTTAGCGTATCAGTTCAAGTCTCCGGCTCCATGGGTTGGGCCCGCTGAGAAGGACAAGTATTAGATTTCTGACGACTCCTACGACGTCCCAGGGATCTTGATGGTCTGATGGACGGAGATTAGAATCCAGGAAGGGTACTTTCAGGAAATCCGGTAACGATAGATCCTCACATTCCAGAAAAGTGGCCAAGTCCGGGACCTGGCGAGGGTAGGCTAGTCTGAAGAAATGGTCTCCTCTGCCGATCAGGAGCGAAAACGGGAATTCCCATCGGTACATAATCCCTTTGGTTTGTAGCAGGTCAGTAAGGGGTTTTAAGAGACGTCTGCGTTACAGGGTCTGGGGGCATACGTCAGGCAGAATAAGGATGTCAGTCCCATCAATGTCTACCGACCCTGTCTCCAGGCTCTACGCAATATCTCCTCCTAGATGTTGAAATAGTGTACCCGACACAGTACGTCCCTGGTTCTGTTAACATCAGCCCCAATAGGGCCCAAGGCTCTATGAACCCGATCCAATTCGATGTGTTCTGTGGGGGCTCTGTCTAGCAGGGAGTTGAAGATAGCCGTGACCGCCGCTCTGAGATCGGGGCCCTGTTGCCTCTGGGAGCCCCCGCAGCCGCAGGTTGTTACGGCGGTTGTGGTTCTCTAAGTCCTCCTGCATCAGCTGCATCTGTGTCATATGGGACTGCTGGCGCAGCATAGATGCTTCTAATTGTGTCACCTTACTTGACAGTGCTCGATCCGAGTCCTCTAGTGTCTCTAGTCTCCGGTCATGTTGTTCTACCCCCGCTCTCACCGCTGCCAGGTCCGATCTAAGTGCAGATGCTAGGTGGTCAATCATACCCTGTATGTCCGCCCCGAGTCGGGAGTGCCGCCAGGATAGACCGGAGCTCCGGATCGGAACCTAGGCCCCAGCAGCCGCGCGGGGAGGAGGATGACAGCGCGCGTGGAGATGGCTTAATCGATCCCGATGTAGGTGAGGGGAAAATCGGGGAGTTCGTGGGCAGCGGCAGTGTTGCCTCATCAGAGGTGATATGTGTTGGAGGGGTTTGGGGCCTTCTCGTCGGGACCAGACACACTGGTGTCCCCGTCCGCTCGCGTCTCGTAGGCCCCATGTCCTGCGGCGATACATATGCCTCCATCCGGGACTGTTTTTGCGATCGTACCGGAGCACGGGGTGTCTGCCACTTCCTCCCAGTACGTTTCATGGGGCGATGGGACGGATAACTTGTAGATCTACTGAAAAAATCAGCCTGGGTCTGCAGAGCTCTTGCCATGTCCAGGTCACGCCCCCCCATCTTTTCATTTTAAATTAAATACATAAATGGAGTGTTAAAAAGTTTACTTCAGAATAAATCGGCACGCACATTTTGGCAATTGTACAGCACTGGAACGCATGGCATTGCAGCACCACACGTTCCAGTGCGGGCGATCACACTGTGGGGGGTATGCGTTTGGGGTGCCATTGAAATGAATGGCACCACAACCCACATCCCGCAGTAGAATTTGTCAGATCGAAACCAAAAATGACCTTTCACCTTTTAAAAAAAAAAATTCTAATAATTTTA